GCACCCGTGGGCAGAGCTGCCTCCCCGCAGCGTGGATCCCCGGGGACGCTGCTCCCTCCAGCCCTGGGGACTGCCTGGTCTGCGGGGAGTGAGGGGTTCCCCTCCATGCCAGGGCAAGCACAGGGAGCTAGGCAGTGGTACCCAGCTTCCAGGCTTTCCTACGGTCAGCTCCCCTCCACTGCCACTTTGCTCTTACCAGGCTCTCTGGGTCCCTGTCTCCCCCCCATGTCAGGCACTGAGCCCCTTCTCGTGCCCATCCCGCATGGGGACAGGGTGGTGCAGGGTTCAGCCACCGCTCTGTCATGAGGACATGCTACTGGTGGTGTGGGTCAGCCCTCCCTGGAGCACGCCAGGCAGCAACCCAGCACTGAGAGCCTCTCTGGCTCTGCCCTCTGCCAAACTGTGCCTGCAAACCACAGGGCAAGGCTACTCCAAGTTGTGCCAGTCTTCAGATGAACAAAAACCCAGGAGAGTTTCATCTCTGCCAGGAAATTCCTAGGATATTGGGACAGGACATGAAAATGCCAGCAGTGGCTTGGTGAAAACCGGCAGCTGTCTGATGTTTCTCCGCTGTTGTTTGGAGGCATCGTCTGGCTCTTCCCTCTCCCTCTCTTTCCTATAAATTGCTTTTTCAGATGCCTCTGTGACTGCAAGATCCATTAAAAGTTGTCTTTGTCACTGGCAAAGCCTTTCTGAGATACTTGAAAGAATTTCTCTGCTGCTGGTGATCCTGTTTAGCATCTATTCAGGAATTCATTTAGTCCCACAGCGATCAGCTGGAATGAAAAGCAGATGTCTCAGAGTTTTTTTCCCCATTCCCAGTGCTTCTCAGGCCTCTGCTGTCCTTTGTTACCCAAAAATACTCTCGCTGAGGTCCAGATGAAGAACGTGGGGCTCGCAGCCACCCGGCACCTTGGGAATACCATGTCTGATGCTGGCATCGGGCTTGCCCGGAGCTGGTGGTGGCCAGCGGAGGAGTTTGCACAGCCCTGCTGCAGCCCCGGCCCCGGGACCCCGTCATCCTCCTCTCCCTCTTGTTATGATCCGCTTCCCATCAGTGAGCCGGCAGTTTTAAGCCTTTTCAGCAGACATGTTTTAGACATATGGAAATTCCTCTCTAATAGAGAAGATCTTTCTCAGTCCCTAAGGATTTCAGGTTGGCTTTTGCATAATAGTATTTCCAGCAGAGCCGAGCGGATGGGTTTTAGTTGTTTGCTTCTTTGCTTTGGGGGGTTATTTGGTAGAAACGGGCTAAAGCCCACAGAGGACGGCGGTGGGAGCCAGGATTTGGGCTGCGCTTCCCCGTGCTTGGCCGGGCTGCCAAGCAGCATCCTCCTGCCTGAGCCGCTGCCCTCCTCTGCCCACCACCAGCTGCCTCAAATCTTCCCCAGGGGTTTGGATGAAAAAACATAAGCCTTTGCAGCTGTGCATACCTCCTGTGCTCTGGACATCGCTGTAATAAGTTTGCTTCAGCCTCAGCCCCCAAACCCTCAGTTTTGGCTCCAGCATCGCTTGCTCCCTCTCCTGGCACATGCTGGTGGAAACTGAGGTTAGCACAGCCCTTCAAGGGGCTCTTCCACACCGCGGAGATGCTTTATTTACTTCACTTTCTAAGCGATATTACATTTGAATTAATTTTTATGCTGTTGTTTTTTTTTTTTCTCGAAGAGATTAACGAGCAATTCAAACTAATCTGAAGTGACTCATGCTTTACAGACGCTCTGTGCTCGCACGCGGCTCGCATCCGCAGGGGAGAAATCTGGCACCGAGCGGCATTTCTCCCAAGCAAAGGCTGTGGTCCACGCACAAAACGCTGACAAAATAACCCCACGGTGCTAATTTGAATAGAGACAAAAGATGACGGAAAAGGAACTTTATTCTGGCTGGTTTTTCACAGATACAGCTGAGTTTTGCACTCGTTTAAGTAAATCGGTTTACAGAAAATAATTAGCGTTGGGCAATTTCCTTATGGAAGCCAGCTCTTATCTTGGCAGAGAGTAAAATGCTTTTTTTTCTCGGTGACCTTTGCTTCGCTGACTCCTTCGGGAGCATCTTCTGGTGGAAAACGAGGACGTGGTTGCCAAGGGAGCTGTTAGTCCCCGTCTGGTTATAATGGCGAGACAGGAGCCCAGTTTGGAGGGCAGCAGTTGAGGGTGGAAAGCACTAGAGCAATATCGTAGCAGCAGAGCACTTCAGCTGCTGCTGGAAAAGAAAATTCCTGTTATGACAAAGGCTAAATGGGAGCATTAATCCAAAAAAGAAGCGCTGGAGTCGAGCTGGCGCGTGACATTTCCAGCGGGCTGAAGCAGAGGTGTGCATCCCTCTGCTACTTGGGATGGAGTTGGGCTGGAATACTTAAATACTGCATTTTGCACTTCATTTTAAGTCGGGCAAATAGGCCAGGTTTTCTGTGATTTCCATGGAAAGGCTATGATTTGGGGAATTTTTGGATATCACAGTCGTGGAGCAGCCTCCGTATGTGCTTTCCCGCAGCATCCCCGGCCCATGCCTCCCCAACCCACCCCATGGGGACCACAACGTCACCGTCCTTGGGGGTCTATCTGACTCCTGAGCAGTCTCTGCTTTCTGCCCTGGGGTCTCAAATTTAAATTGCAGAGCTCCAGCTAAAGATATTAATAGGGGGGGCAATCATCATCGAGACACAGGTGACAAAATACATCTTACGGCCTCTGAAAAGAGTGACTGAGATGGGGACCGGGCCATGTACAGTTGGAAAAGGTCTAGTTGGTCCCTTCTTTTTTGTTTCTTCTGTGTTGTTTTCCATGCTACATCTGACGGATGGGCACCTGGATTTCATGAGGTCATCAGCTCCACCTGTGCTCCCTTGCAGCTGTTTAGGATTCAGGCAGAGGTGCAGGAATTAGGTGAGAGGATTTAATGATCTCCTGGCATCCCTGCTCGCTCTTTTTCCGTGATGCAAACCTGGAAAGCGAGAGCTCCCTAGGCCATGTGAGGAATCAGGAAGCTGATTTTTTGGGGGGAGACCAAACTGGGATGACCCCAGAGCTCTGTCCCCACCTGACAGGGACCATTGTGAATAAAGGTTTCAGCAGCTGCGATGCTGGGGAGGGATGTTGCAGAGAAGTCTGCCCATCACCTGCAAACACGGGCTGCTGCAGGCCGTGCCTGCCTGCGCGCTGGGTTAATTAGCAGCCATGGCCACGGTTTAGAGAAGCTGCTAAATCAAGAGATGTGCTAACCAGCTGCAGGAGGGCTGCCAGGTAGCAATGGGTTTAGAGCAACAGTATTCTATTTGGGTCATATCTTGACTTTCCAGCCTGTGTTTTTGGAACTTTTTCTTCTGGCCCTTGCCTTGTGATGGTGGCATCCAGCGGGGGCTGGCTTTTAATGGTGGGTTTTAGTGGTTTTGCTGGAAGCTGTGCGTTTCAGGTTGGCTTTGGGAAGAGTTTGCCCTGGCTCGTCCTCTCCCTCAAGAGGTTTGCACGCCGGGTAGGGACGGGTTTGCCTCCATGTTTGATGCCTTCAGGCTGTGAGCAGCTTGCACGTGGGGCCGGTGGCTGGAGGTTTGGGGTGCACCCTGTGTAGGGTGGTAGTGTGTGGCCTTCGGCAGCATGGCTCCTTGTCTCCATGGGAACCAGCAGCAGGAGCATCCTGCCATCTGGCCAGAGAGGAAGAGGAGAAGGAGGAGGAGGAGGTGGCTGCCACCTTCCCCAGGGCTGCAGCAGGGCAGCACTGGGCTCAGCTCCCCAGCCAGCTCTGATGTCCCAGGGGATGGAGGTCTGCTACAGGCTCTGAGCACACATGCACATCGGTGCTGGGGCACCCACACCTCTTTCTGGCTGATGCCTCCAAATCCAGGCCCCTCTCCCTCAACCACATCCCATGCACTTGTTCCCTATGATTGTATGAACTCAGGGATATGGAGATGGATGCTTTTAATTTTTGAGAGACCAGCAAGAAGGACAGTCTCCCAAATGGGCTCCTTCTGCCCTGGTCCTGGTGCCCTGTCAGCAGGGATTCCAGCATCCTTCTGTCTCTACCTCTCAATACAAGCCGGACCCGGGATACCCTCAGGCAGGGGCACAGCAACACACAGTGGCACAGGGGCAGGATCCACCATCCCACCCCTTTTTGCTGCCTCGTCATCATCTTGCCGACGAGTTATCTGTGATGGGATCTCACACGCAGCTGCTGGCTAAGCCTTCCAGCTTTAGTGGCTGCCCGTGGGATGGGGGCTGGCGGGGATGCTGTCCTCGCTCCCCCAGAATCAGGAGGCCGGGGAAGTTCAGACAGACCAGACATCTCATTGCAGACCTGATGTACACACACACATATGCCAAGGAGCCCTCTTGGTGCATCACCCCAACCTAAACGCATCGCAGGACTCACACCTCCCTCTTGCAGAGCTGAAGCAGCCAGGGAGGAAGGGAAGGGGTTAATCCCCTGCCCGCTGCAGACCTGCCTGTGCCTCGCTGATCCAGGGCAGATTAGGAAAGCTGGAAGGAGCTTTCTCAGCAGGGATCACCGAGAGCACATCACTAAATGCAGTTGGAAAACTGTGAAAAACCCACGGAGCATTAACTGGCAGCAGTGCCCAGCGTGGCAGCGGCTGGGGGGCATCATGCACCCTGGCACACCAGCGATGCTTCTTCCCCTGCTGTCCTCACGTCGGTGCTCTACAGGAGATCAGGAAAGTTTATCACGGCCCCTTGAAAGGATTTCTTGGAAAATTGGGGTTGCAAGATGGGTCCTGGCCTCCCAGGGTGAACCTGGGCCATCCTGCCTTTCCCAAGGGAGCTCTGGCTGTGTGGGATCACATTTATTCCCTTCCCTTCCTCAGCGGGAGGTCGGCTGGGGTGGTGCTTGGGGAACTGCTGGGACTGGGTGTCCCCAAGGGACGAACGTCTCAGGGGTCACAAATTGACACCAGAGCTTTCAGTGCTCCTTCCCTCTCCCCTGCTCTTCCCCTCTGCTTTTATTCCTTCCTCCACTCCCATCTGCCCTCCTCCGCTCTGTCTGCCCTCTCCCATTCCTTGCTCTCTTGCTCAGCCGGTGACACCAGAGCTCCTGGTGAGCCCCAGCAGCCAGGACGGAGACCTGGGCTCCGAGTGCCCTGAAGACAGAGGGAACTGGACGGGGCGGCTGGATTTCCTCCTCTCCTGCATCGGATACTGCGTGGGGCTTGGAAACGTCTGGAGGTTCCCCTACAGGGCTTACACCAATGGAGGAGGTACTTGGTCATCCTTCGGAGTGGCCACATCTTCCCCTCACTGAGCTGGGCTAGTGGGACGTGTCTCTGAAGAGAGACCTCTTCCCCTTCTTGGAGTTGGGAAGTAGTGTTTGTTGTGGAGTGAAGCTTACTCCTGCCCCCCATGCTTGCTGTAGGCCGTTAACCATCTGTACCCATGGGTGGAACGGACTCATCAGCCCATCACTTCACTCATGGCCTTGGAGACTCTTCACTCAAGGCTTGGGAGGCATCCCCAGCTCCATGCTGGACTGAATGCCACCTGAGCATCCCCCTTGGTTTCCAACAGGTTCTTGGTCTGGTGTCCTCCAGGACTCAGCGGAACCAGCAAATGCTTCCCAGGTATTGAAAGAGGGGAGCGAGCCTTTTGCTATGCAAGTGCCCAGCCACAATGGTGCAAAGTGCCCAGCTTGTTCATCTACCCCCAGAGTAACTGCTTGTCACATGCAATAATAACTGAAGAATGTTGTGGTGTTTGTGAAAGATTCAAGGAGAAAAGACAGTCAAGGCCAGGGGGAAGCACAGCTCTGGGTCAATCCCAGCCCCTTCCTCCTGCACCCCCTACTGTCTTCCAGATTTTGGGTAGATCCCTCAGAGCCACAGATGTTGAATGAACTTTATTCTCTGTCATAGATGGGCTTTAGGTGCTTGCTCTGTGTTAATTTTAGGGTGTTTTTCTTGCTTCTTGCAGGAGCTTTCCTGGTTCCTTACTTCATCATGCTGGCCATCTGCGGGATCCCCATCTTCTTCATGGAGCTGTCACTTGGCCAGTTCTCCAGCCTGGGGCCGCTGGCTGTCTGGAAGATAAGCCCCCTCTTTAAAGGTGCGTGAGTGAAGTCCAGAGCCTCTGCAGGGCCTCTCGAAGAGCTGCTTGATCAGGACATGAACCAGCAGCATCGTCCCATGACCCTCAAAGCTCTTGTTAGAATCAAAACTTAAATCCTGGGGGAAGGTGGAGCAGGCTGGACTTCTGGATTAGTTGGTTTAGTAGCTGGAAGAGATGTATGAGATCTGTCAGTCTTCAGAGGCTCTGGGTGTCACGATGAGCTCTAGAAATGGTATGAGAATTATTAAGCCTGCTAGTGTAGAAAATACAGCATCAAAGCTAAGCAAGGATTGTTAAAGACAAAGGTAAGAATAAAGCGCTCTAAAAAAAACCCAAATCAAATACTTTTACTCTCAACGTTAAGTTGGAGTAAAACCATCTGTATGATGCAATAGATCATCGATTCAGAGAAGGCGCGGCCAGAGGGAATAACGGCAATAAGAGGCTTCCCCCACCAGGTGAACCTCTCACTGGTTAAACGTTTGGCTGCTGAGATCCAGTGTCTGACCCTGGTTTTGAATGTGCTTCGCTCCGGAGAGATGGCTCACTCCTTCTCTACCCTCTCCTTCCTCCAGGCGTTGGCATGGGCACAATCCTCATCGTCTCCCTGGTGGCCATTTACTACAATATGATCATTGCTTACGTTCTCTTCTACCTCTTTGCATCCCTCACAAGCGACTTGCCCTGGCAGCACTGTGGCAACTGGTGGAACACCGACCTGTGCCTGGACCACCACGTCATCAAGGCAGGGAACACCACCTTCCCTGTCAACATCACCAACACCGTCAGCCCCAGCGAGGAGTACTGGAGGTAAAGAGGTCAGCCCGGCTTGGCCGAGGGGACAAGGTGGGCATCCAATAGGGAGAGAATGAGGATGGGATGAGGGGTGAAGGTCTGTGCGGCATGGGGGGCACTCACGGTGGGTGTTGTGTGTGCAGTGATGTCTCGTGGGTGATACCTCACTTTAGCCTTTGGGATCACGTTCCTGGGATGTGGCAGGTGTCCATGATCTAGCGCTGCTTTGCTGGCCTGGAGACACGTTAGACTGAACTGCATCCCATGCCTGGGTCGGCTGGGAATTTGCTCTCAAGCTGCCAGGCATCCCCTCTGGGCTCTTTAAGGCATGGTGGGGAAATCACACCAGCTGCTCTCCTTCCGCGGCAAAGAGCTGCCAGGGCCTTGTTGCTCTCTCATCGCTGGTGGTTTTGAGAAGGTTATTTTTGGCAGCAGAGGCTCAGAGAGGGTCTCTGGCAGATGGCAGGGGGTGCCTGTGGCAGCTCACTCGCAATTCTCCTTTCGCCCTAGCCGGTACGTCCTGCACATCCAAGGGAGCTCTGGGATCGGAGATCCTGGGAGGATCCGCTGGAACCTGTGTCTGTGCCTGCTGCTTTCTTGGACCATCGTCTATCTGTGCATCCTAAAGGGAGTCAAATCCTCTGGCAAGGTAAGGGCTGGACAGTCTCTTTTGGGGGGATCTTCAGCAACACTCACCAGTGCCTGTGATTCTCTGCATATCTGGGAAAGTGAGACCCATGACAGCATCAGCTGGACACAGGCCACTTCTGGGATGGCCAGCCCCAGACTCTGGCAGAGCCGACAGCACCAGCCCTGCTGCTTCCCAAGGAGCCCAGCTCTGCAGGGTGATGCTGGGCCACGACCTGTCCCATTACAGGGACAGGGCAACGGGGAATGACAGCAGTGCTCTCACTCCCAGCTCTCCCAGCTGGCTCTGCTCTCCCGCAGGTCGTGTACTTCACCGCCACCTTCCCGTACCTCATCCTGGTGATGCTGCTTGTTCGTGGTGTGACGCTGGAGGGGGCCTGGAAGGGGATCCGGTTTTACCTCACGCCCCAGTTTGATCACTTGCTGTCTTCCAAGGTGAGCAGGGTTTGGGGCGATTTGTTCAAGACACAAAAAACGAACCTTCTCCTGCCACCTCCAGCATGCAACAGACGTGGTTCCCTTAGTTGGGTGCCTTTTGTGGCCACCTCTCGACCCAAAGTCCTCTCTCTTGGTTGATCCCAGACCAGAAGCATTTGCCTTTCAGCAATCCATCTTTGCTCCACACCTTGTCTATACTGCTCTTCCCACCTGGCCCAGCCCTGTGCCTGCTCCTCTGGCTCTCCATGCAGGGCTTGGTATGCTCACCACCTCCCCTGGGTACCAGGACCGTGGGCAGGATTAGCCCAGCCCCTGTGATAGGGGTGGGGGTGGCGATGGGTGCCCATGGTGGATTTGGCTGTTCTGATTTTCCCAAGCAATGTCGGCGTGCAGAGCGGGGAGTTTCTTGGATCAGCAGTGCTGGTAGCAGAGACTACAGTTTTACAAGGGCGTTTAATGCCACACTGGGCTGGCTCTAAAACACTCTCACTAGCCCTTCCATTAGCCAGCTGACCCACTGCGAGGGGTTGGCTTGTTGGCAAGGAAAGGCAAAGACCCAGTGGGCTTTGCGTGCCTGGAGGGCTGGGGAAGATGACGTGCCGGGGGCTCCGGGAAAGCGTATTTCCAACTCCCTCTTTGCCAGGAGGAGGCTTCCAAACTTCTGCTCTCCTCAGACCCGTTTTCTTCCCCCAGGTGTGGATTGAGGCAGCCCTGCAGATTTTCTACTCCCTTGGAGTAGGTTTCGGGGGCCTCCTCACCTTCGCCTCGTACAACACCTTCCATCAGAACATCTACAGGTGGGAGCCAGTTGTTATCTCTTAAAAATTGTGAGTTGCGGGGAGCCATGGAAACCTCAGCTGGTGGGTTCAAAGTCAGCAGAAGCACAGGGTGCAGCGTGGTCACCCAGCACTGCTCCTTGCCAGAGCACCTCAGATACCTGGCAGCTTGCACAGGCTTGAGAGGGACAGAGAGGTCTGTGGAAGGAAAACCTACTGAGTATCAAGGCACAGCACTTGGCTCAGAAGTTTTGGGCTGCAGGTGCCAAAGGCTGAGGATATTTGAGGCCACAGTTATGCATGTTTGTCCTGTTCCCAGCATCCATTGAAGATCACCAGCAGAGAGGGGAGTCTTGATGTTGGACATTTGGGCTGATCCCCTCCACTGGGGAAAGAAAGTTTGGGAGAAACCTCAAAATAACCCGAGTCACTAGAGATACTCTCCTTTTGCACCTGGAAAGTACATACCCAGAGAGGCCCTGGAGAAGAATCGCACTGGGTCACCTTACTGTGACACCTAGGCCTGACAATTCCACCATGTACTGGTGTGGGGTGGGAAGGTGCGAACATGTTCAGAGCATCTTCTTTCTCCTCTGTAGGGACACCTTCATAGTGACCCTGGGCAATGCCATCACCAGCATCCTGGCAGGGTTTGCTATCTTCTCTGTTTTGGGATACATGTCCCAGGAGCTTGGAGTCCCTGTTAACCAGGTAGCAAAAGCAGGTGAGGTCAAACAAAGACCCTTTCTCCGTCACTCTCTGCCTGGGTGCGCTGAGGACCATCCCTTCCAGGATGGAAGGCATCCGAGGGTGTCAGCAGGAGGGATGAAGATGGATGCTCAGCTGGCAAGGGGGAGGGAAGGAGGGAGATGAATTCCTGCCATGCAAACCTTGAGTGACACCAAGCGATGTCTAACAAAGGCCTGAGCAAGGAGCAGGCTGGTTCTCCTGCACCTCTCCACCCTCTGCTGCAAGACCCCTCCCGCCAATCTTGCAAGAGCCTCAGCAGGTCCCTGCTGTGGTGCTGCTCTGCTGGGCTCTCCTCTGCTCTGCTCTCCTCCATCCCCCCCCACGCCCAGCGCTGTCACCCTCTCTTCACCTTGCTGTCCTTTGCCTCCCCTAGGTCCTGGCCTGGCTTTTGTGGTGTACCCCCAGGCCATGACAATGCTCCCCCTTTCTCCATTCTGGTCTTTCCTGTTCTTCTTCATGCTGTTAACCTTGGGCCTGGACAGCCAGGTAAGGACAGAGCCCACCAAGCCAACCATGGTGCCCCGACAGCCCAGGGGCTCAGGGTCTTCTCCTTTGTGTGCAGTTTGCCTTTATGGAGACCATCGTTACGGCAGTGACAGATGAATTTCCCTACTACCTGCGGCCAAAGAAAGCTTCTTTCTCAGCTGTCATCTGCATTGCCCTCTTCCTGATGGGGCTCATCCTCACAACAGAGGTAAGGGTGTGGAGCTGATGCATCGTGGAGACCAGCTAGGGCCTCATTTCAGGGAGAGCTTAGGGCAGGGGCCAAGCTCGCAGAGAAGAGAGATGATCGAGGAGCCTGGACTTCCTCAGGATGTGAGGTCCAAGGGGAGGGACAACATTATTCCTGTCCCTGCACCAACCGCAGGAGAGTGATGTCTCCTGAGGGCGCCTGACCAATGTCTTCCCCAATGTCGCCAAAGGGGCTAAGGGGACACGTCCCCATAAGTGGGAGGATATGGATGGGTGTTTATTGGGATGCTGGCCCCAGAGATGCTGGCCACTGTGCTTTGCCTCTACAGGGTGGGATGTACTGGCTGGTCCTACTGGATGACTACAGTGCTGGCTTTGGTCTCATGGTGGTAGTGATCACTACCTGCCTCGTGGTGACACGTGTCTACGGTAAGGGGGTCTGTCCCCACGGGGGCACAGGGAGGAGTGGGCTGTCTGTATGAACAGAGGGATTTGGGAAGGCGGTAGGGGTGCCAGCAGCCTAGAAATGGAGCATGAAACACCTCTGCTCCCACCTCTTGTTTCTTCTTGGCCATCACTGGATGGCCTCTCCAGAGATACTTCAGGTGCTGAGCTTGGTCACTCAGACAGCACCAGCTGTGTCCTCCTTCCTGCATCTCCCAGCAGGGAGAGATCATGACTTTTGAGTCCCTCTTCCTCTCCCTCCTCCAGGTATGAAGAGGTTCTGCCGAGACATCCACATGATGCTGGGCTTCAAACCAGGGCCCTACTTCAGAGCCTGCTGGATGGTCCTGTCCCCTGCAACAATGATGGTAATTGCTCAGTTCAAGGTGCTGGATGGTGCTGGAGATCCGCAGTGGTGCCAGTATCCCTGGGTGACCTCCCCTTGTGAAAAGTTGCTCTGCTGGTGTCTCCTGCCCCAGGGACCATTCTAGTTCCACTGGGAGGTCTCCAGGCCTTTTTCGAGCATGAGACCTTCAGAGGGCTCTGGGCTGACCTGGCTTCCTTCCCATCTGCAGGCTCTGCTGGTGTACAACATCATCAAGTACCAGCCCTCCGAGTACGGCAGCTACCGCTTCCCAACCTGGGCCGAGGTCTTGGGCATCCTCATGGGAGTTCTCTCCTGCCTGATGATTCCCATAGGCATGGTGGTGGCTGTGCTCCGAGAAGAAGGGACACTATGGGAGGTAGGAGGTGTTGGGGCCTGGCGTTGCTGGGAAACACCCTAGAAATGTGCAGGAGTGACCACCAGCCCCTGCCGAGCCTAGATTCTCTGGCAATTTCTGCATCCTCTCTCCTGGAGCTGTGTGTCCCCATCCCTCCTTGCTGCCCATGGAGTGTGAAGCACTGAGTCATGCTGCTTCCCAAGGGGCAGCCCTGTGGGCATGCCCCCTCTGAAACAAGCCTGCTATGCCTTGCCCTGTGGGGAAGTACATCATCCCCAGCATGGGGCGGGCACAGACACATGGGACTTTGCACCCATTTTGCAGGAGCAACATCGGAGCAAGGAAGGCAGCTGGCGGGCAGTGCAGGCAGCCTGGGCAGGATCCCTCCGTTGGAAGGCTTTGCCCAGAAGCAGGTTCTGGAGCTGCTGACCGCTCACAGCCTTCCCTTTGCTGCTCTCCCCAGGCTGTTAAAAGCAGACGCAGCAGAGCTTGCTGCCCTCCCCAGGCAGCAGTCCTCACCACCGCAGCCCAGGCTGGCCACAATCCGGCCTGGCACAGCCGCGGGCATGGTGACATGGCCAGGAACCACCTTGGCTGAGCCTAACCCCTTGCCTGGGTGGCTCTAACCCCAATACCCCAGAGCTGTAGCCTTACAATAGCCCCTTGCTCCTGCGAGCCCTTCCCACCAGCACCCGTAGACCATCACACCTGCCCAGCCCACAGCAGAGCATTTGTACAGGGCTGCCTTCCCAAAAACCTTCAGGACAGGCTTCTGACTTCATTCCATCCTCATCGGGGGCTCTTCCAGTCCCCTGGGGCTGGCAGGGCACAGTGTCCCCTGAGATGGGTGGGTGAGCTGCTGGGTGGGGATGCTGGCCAGGGAGCGGAGCAGGTGCAAGTGCGGGGTGCTCCCCCGACCTGTCCCCTCGCAGCGAGTCTGGCAGGCAAGCCGGCCCACCATGGACTGGGGCCCATCGCTGGAGGAGAACCGGACCGGCATGTATGTGGCGAGCCTGGCCGGCAGCCAGTCCCCCAAACCACTGATGGTTCACATGCGGAAATATGGGGGCATCACCAGCTACGAGAACACGGCCATCGAGGTGGACCGAGAGATGGAGGAGGAGGAGGAGGAAGAGGAGTCCATGATGTGAG